ACTTGGAAAAACTGTGTATGATGGTATACGCATTCTTTTTTAAAATTTTGTTTAGAGTTTATAAATTATGGCTTTGGAATCATTAATTGGCGTGGAGCTCTTTTTCTGAAAAGTTCTTTTTCTTCTGATAAATTATTTTAATGTAGATTAAATCATATTTATTACAGAAGGAAAAATTTTGTTTTTAATGATATATGGTTGACTTTGAGGTTAAGTAATATAGGGCGGGGAAATGGCAAGGGGAGCTCTTAACTTTCACAAAAAATTCACATTAATAAAAAGGAAAATCAAATAATACTTGGAGATCTCAAAGCACTCTTAAAAACTTTATCTAATTAGGCTTTCTACCCCCTGTGCAGTAAATATTCTGTTAGCTATACAGGTGAGATTCTAAGAATTAGTAATTAAGCTGTGTTCTTTTTACCTCGGTGCTCAAATTATACAGTTTGCCAAAGGAAATGTGTGCTGTGTCATTCTAGCATGACTTTCAATGGAGTTACCATCGAATTTCTCCAAAACAGGCATTGTGTAACATTGTTGTCACTTTCTGTAATTATTTTCACTGGTATACTGTGATTTTGAAAAATTATTGTTAATGATTACAGTTGAAAACATGTTTAAGGTATTTGCATCTAAGAAATTGTTTTCTTCTCAATTGTGTGGGTACATTTTTAGTTACTTGAATTCAGATCCTATTTACTGAAAGCAGGTTTCTTTGGGATAGAGGGAGGGCAGAGGTGGGCAAAGTGGCTATTTGTGGTATCCTAATTCTGGGTATGAATAGCCTGGACTCCTGGGGCTTTGCCTGGATTCTAGGGTGAGTTGTTATACTTCATTCCCTACGTATATTATAATATTACTTGTTTTCTTATTTTGTTAAAGCATCTTGAATTTTAATGTAATTTTTAATTTGAGCTTTTGCGTTTTTGAACATTATGCAATCGTATTTTCTTTGCACTGTTTTCTCCAAAAAATGACCAAATGCCAAAGGTTACGTGATACAAGAATAATTTGCATATACTGCATCATTTTTCATACTAAATTAATGAATGGGAAAATCTACATTGGCTCCTGGGTATGAAATAAAGTTTCTTCTACAAACCATTGATTACTGAGGCTACAGGAGTAAAAGAGAAGTTTTATTCATATTAGGGTTTTTTAGAAATAAAATTGTGGTGCTTTCTAATTGTAAAACCAATGCAAGATTGTTTCCAAAAATATGAGAAATATATACAAACATTAAGAAGAAAATAAGTCACTTTTAGTCCTAACTACAGATGGTGTTATTTTAATATAACATTTTCAAGGATTTTCTAGGCCAACCAATGTATTTTTGCTAAATAATCTAATCATCTAAATAATCTCATAGTCCTGATTTTGATTTTCTGTGAGCTAATTGAGCCCCTTTTAAATTTCACAGCCAGAATATACATTGCTGTACCAGTAAATACTAGTAAATATTTTATTCCTGACATTGAATCAAATTCTAAATTTAGCTGTCATGAAGGCATTCATTTATCCTCATATATTTGTATACTTTTAGGCTAGCTTGCCTATAAAGTGATAACAATACATTAAGTGTCATATAGCATATATATTAAACTGTCCCCTTTAGATTCTAGGCATCTAGGACTTTCTTGTGATGAGGATTAATGATACTGTCACTGAAAATATATATGTATATAAATAGGAAACACTTTTCCTGCAAGGGCAAGGATTTCACACTCTCATTATTGTAGAAGTACTATTGCAAAAATGGTTATCTACTTCTTAGGAAAGAATTAAAATTGTTTGCTGTACACTTTTGGAAACAATGCCAACAGGGAAGAAAATGGGTCTGGAAATCATGTTTACCACTACTGGTCTAATATTCTTAACCACTGAACTTGCAAGTTATGATAACCTTTTTTTAGAAGTATGTTAAGATGAACAAAAAATTTTTCCGGTACAGCAATTATCACCTGCAGATGGCCTAAAATTAGCGTTGAGTTAACTCCAGAAACAGCTTGTGAGCTGTGAAATGGAGTTCAGATAGATAGTGAGATTTCACAGAGATGCCTGGTATATTGGTATAAATAACCAAATATCAAGATACCAACTGATGCATACAGATGACTACTAATAGCTAAAAATCCTATAAAAATTTGGTGTTAAAGAAAACTTAATTTGATGTGAACATAATGAAGCCTCTTAACTTATGCATAGAGTATTAACGATTTGTATACACGTACTCAAATAAAGAAGGCTTGAAATTGAATTTATTGTGACTTATAATCTGATGAGAAGGAAAGATAATTCCAATATAGGTGAAGGCATTAATCAATTTGATAAAAGCATGCAGATTTCAGGTTAACTTTGCTCAGGGTTTTCACTGTTATTATTTAACAGATTAAAAAAGATGTTGCATTTTATGACAAGGAGAGACAATTTAGAATCAGAATGTAAGAGGAGGAGCTCATGAGCTCTGAGAAAGAAATTAACTTTTACAGGGCAGAACTTGTGTCTTTCTTTGCTGATGAATCATCTAGTCGTTGAGCATTCAACAAGTATTTCTGGCCTTTAATAGCCAGGCATTGAAAGCAGTGTTTATGTCAAATATTAAAACTTTTTCAGTTTTAGTTCATATATATAAAGAATATATTTTGAACATGTCCCTACATAAAAGGCCTCTTGATGAAGAAAACATTTAATGTTTAGCATACCATTGATATAATTTTGTAAGTATGATTTTATGTTATGGGGTTTTGTTTGGTCTCATCATTTTCTAGATAACTTTTGCCATTCAGAAAGCAGACATTGAATATATACATGGCATGCATGTGGTATAATGGAAAAAATAGCTCCTGATATTCCCTCATCTCCCTGCCCCAAATATTCCAACTAAAAATACAAGAGAGCGTGTTTAGGAGAGTCAAACAGGCAGTGGCCACCCCTCTGGACTCCATTTAGCTGCTTTGTAGCTAACAGATCTCATTTCCTTAATACAAATGCACACGAACACACACACCTAGGTAAAGACATTTTTATTACCAGTCTCCTTCCACATTCTGTTTCTGGTGATCTCAGGACTTTGGTGAGCTGAATTATAGCTCCCCTTCACAAAATGCTGGGAGAACTTTAGCTAAGCATTATGGTCCCTGATGAGATGTGCTAAATAAAAAAAAATGTTTTCAAATACTCTTAGGGTTTTGTATAATCTATCCTTTACAATACAATACTCCGCCACCGTTAATATGCTTGATGTACGTCTGTCTGTACTGCCATACAAAGCTGTTCATAATACATCTAGATTGGATGTCCACATAGCAGACTTTATCTTGGTCAAGTTTGGATAGCATTTTCCTTCTTCAGAATATTTCTAGGAAAACAAAATTCCTTTTTCATCAGAATACTCTCTACTTTAATTAATATATAGCATTATTCAAGATAGAAAAAATAAAATTTCTATGCTTAGCATGCATTCAAATCTTATTACTAAACAGGGTCTGTTTCTTAGAGAATTGATGATATCTAGGAGTCGGGAATTCATGTTACAGCCTCAGTATTTAACTATGAGGTGATTTTGACTAAACCGTTGGACTTCTGAACTTTTCTTGGTTAATCATATATCAAAACAGAGTTTAGAAATAGCCCCTCTCATTATATGTATTTAGTCAACAATTATGAAGTCCTTAAAAAAATGCAGATGTCGCCTTTTCATTGTTGGTTGCTAGAGATCACATCTTAACTCTCTTTAAGGATGCATTTTACTGTACTTACGGCTAGCTAGACCAACAAGAGAAACGAATGTGAAGATACTCTTTGCTAACATATCACTTCATGGAATTCTTTTGAAGACTTTTTGGCTGGAAAATATTATGTGAGCTCTTGTGATTAGAAAGCTAAAGTACAGGTACTGATCAACTTACGACCATTCGACTTTACGACCACAATCGCTAGCCACGACTGCTCCGCGTCTGGCAGCGCAAACGTTGCCCAGCTGGGCATACGACAGTGCGGACCAGCTTCCGGCAGCACTACTGGAACAACTGAACTGTAGCTAATTCATGTTTTAGTCAGTGTTCAAAGTTTTCCTTAAAATGTATGAGAATTCTTTAATTTCTGGAAAGATAGAAGTTGGAGCCTTTATAATATAGAGCTTATCTAGCTACTGAATTATAAAATTATTTCAAAATCTATATACCCATGACAATAACAAAGCATATGTACTTTAGATGGAAAATATTAACACATGAAAGTAATTATAATTGTGGACAAAAATATCTTGAAAAAATGTTTCCTACGGTATTTTTTACACCTGTATTTTGTGTTTTTGTATGCACCTGTATTTTGTAATTTTGTATGTTTTGCAAATACTAAACCAGTTGTACTGGTAATGCAGTGTTTTACCTGACGAATGTAAAAATAAGAAACAAAATGGTGTAGAGATGATACAAATGGCATAAAATGAACAAAGAAATTTATGATATATAACAATAATGAAAAAAAATTATGATAAAATATGACTTAAAGATTTTTATGACATCATTTCACAGTACTGTACATATAGCCTACTCAGCTTACGACCAAATCGTGTTACAACCGGTCTGTCAGAACCAATCGTGGTCGTAAGTCTAGCACTAGCTGTAATCTTGGTAGACAGGATATTTCTTCTGATAACATATATTCTTTTCTGAGAATGCATTTTCGGAAACATAGATTTCATTGTAAATCCTTCATTGTTTGAAGAACTCTGTGCCAGTATTACATTTCAGGCAAGCTAATTTTAGCCAAGTTCATTGAAAGTATTCCCTATGTTCTCTCCAGTAATTTCAGCTGGTTCCTTTTTATGCCCTCTTGACATGGTCACATTCTACAGAGTATAGAAAATGGCCTGCTGTCTGTAGAAATGGCCAATAGTTTCATGATTCCCTTCTTTTTAGTGTGGATGAATTTTCTTTACTCTTTATCTGTTCCCTGCATCCTCAGCCATCATGTATGTTTTGTTTTCTCTCTTGCAGATGACACAATTGGTGCTGCCTGGCATGATAGAAAGGTGAGTCACAAGCTCACACACAAACACTGTAGAAGCAGAGCTCATTATTATTTATAGGGAGAATCCTTGCTTTGAAAAAAATCACTGAAGTGACTAATGAACCAAGCCTCCATGTCTTAGCCACAGAGTGATGTGCCAGGCGAGTCACAGTAGAGCATGAGTCATCGGTGATGGAGGCCTTTTCCACTTGATTCCCTTTTTATTTCTCTCTCTAGGGTTGTAGTGGTTCCTTTAGATCAGGATGAAAAAGGCTGCCTGAGTCACCATCACTAACTCAATTGCCTGCTATTCTGAGGGGGTGGATAGAGTTCCTGGGATATTCCTGGGAGTACCTTCTTAAAGCTGTATTCTCTCAAAGCCAAAATCAGTGGAGTTGGATGAAGCAACACCTCTTCCTCTGGTTTTTCACTTTTTACTGGGAGAATGGCTGGATGAGGAGCTTAAGCATATTATGTAAAGTGATTGTAAGATGTCAAACCAACCCTTGGAGGAAAAGGCATTGTCCACTGGCCCCATCTTTGTTCCAGTTCAAATTGGTTTTGCTAGTACGTGCTGAATGTCTTCATTTTCATTGAGAAATATGTTGTAGAGTTCTGTTATTTGAAACAGTGTGAAGTGTAAAATTTAATTAAGCTGTTTCTTCCTTGGAAAAACCTGAATGATGTCTAGGCCTTCAAAGAAAACCTGCTAAAAAGATTTGGGCTTGCATCCTGAGTTAGCTCAATTATTTGCTGGATTCAGGGCATCTTAATCATCCTTTTTTCTGCAAAATAACTATGAGTTTGGAAGAGACCCAAAGGAATCACAGCTTTGAAAAGGGAAGACCCAAGGACTCTACTTATATTAGGAAACCTCTATGACCCACTCCAGGCAGGGATTACAGCTTATGTTTATTGAGTATATGGTTAAGTATCAGGAACTTAGTAAATGTTAACTCGTTTAACTTTGCTAGCCTCCCACCATTGTACAGATGAGGAAACTGAAGTTAGCAATCCATTTGTTGAGCATCTACAGAGACTGGTTAAGAAACAGTTTCTCAGCAAAGCTCCTTGTAATTCCGTTTTATGTACACTATTTTGTGTATTTTAATTGGTTTATTTTAATAACACTTCCCTTTAAAATCTTCAAACTGCCTATCATTAGGTGTCAGTGGGAGTGGGCCCTTGATAGTCAGATAGGTGTCAGTGATTAGACCGGACCAGAACCCTAGAAGATAGTAGAGTTGGGAAAAAGTAGAACCCAGGAGGGATTAAATGTGGGCCATCATCTTAATCCTAGTTTTGACATCTGCAGGTAACATGATATTAATTCAGAATAGTAAATCTACCCGTTAAAAAAGAAACACTTATAAACCACAGAGGTATGATAAAAGGAATTTTTAATTGTGTTGGTGAAAACCATATCAAAAGAGATAATGGTTGTAAAATTATTTTTCAGCATAAAGTCTTAGTCAAAGAGTCATAGAAATCCAGTGCATTAAATTAATTGACAGTAACCTACCTCATTTGACAGATGAATAAAAAGGGGCCCAAAGAGATGGAGTGCTATGAAGCTATACAGTTAGTAAATAATACAAAACCGAGGAGCTGGGAACTTCACTGCTACCTCTGTAGACCTGACAGCCATGATCACAGCTGGAGCATTACATAAAAGCAGTGCAAAAAAGGAGAGGCCATCCATTCAATAGTCATTCGTTGAGTGTATCATGGATGAGTTGGATCCTTGTCTTTTAAGAAACCAAGTTGAGGCTGGGCTCAGTGGTTCATGCCTATAATCCTAGTGCTTTGGAAGGCCAAGGAGGGTGAATCGCTTGAGGCCAGGAGTTCAAGACCAGCCTGGCCAACATGGCGAGACCCTGTCTCTACTAAAAGTACAGAAACATTAGCTGGCTGTGGTGGCACACAGCTGTAATCCCAGCTACTTGGGAGACTCAGGCATGAGAATCACTTGAACTCCAGGAGGCAGAGGTTGCCGTGAGCCAAGATAGCCCCACTGTACTCCAGCCTGGGTGACAGAGCAAGACCCTGTCTCAAAAAAAAAAAAAAAGAAAAGAAAAAGAAAAATCAAGTTGATTTTAAACTGGGGTTGAGAAATGGTGGAAAGTTATCAGAAGCTGTGACTGAACCTGACACCACATTACCATTTTGATACTTGTTAAGAACTATTGAGATGTGTGTGGATTTTATGAATCAGTACTTTTGGTTAGGAAAAGGAACATCTGTGTCTACTTGAGTTAAAGGACTTAGTTACTAGATATGTCAGTCAAGGTTAGCTATCTGCTGAAGCAGACCACTCCCAAATCTCAGTGGCTTCACACATAAAGGTTTACTTTTCCCTCCCCTCTCTACCCAGTCATTCAGAGATCTGAGGCTCCTTCCATCTAGGGGCATCATCATTTTCTAGGATCTTGGAGTTCTCTGCATCCAGCTGACAGATGAAAGAAAAAAGAATAAAGATGGTGTGTTTTTTTGCTGTTTGTTTTGGTTTGATTTTTTTTTTGTGGGGGAGGGGGACGGAGTTTTGCTCTTGTTACCCAGGCTGGAGTGCAATGGCGCGATCTCGGCTCACCGCAACCTCCGCCTCCTGGGTTCAGGCAATTCTCCTGCCTCAACCTCCTGAGTAGCTGGGATTTCAGGCACGCGCCACCATGCCCAGCTAATTTTTTGTATTTTTAGTAGAGACGGGGTTTCACCGTGTTGACCAGGATGGTCTCGATCTCTTGACCTCGTGATCCACCCGCCTCGGCCTCCCAAAGTGCTGGGATTACAGGTTTGAGCCACCGCGCCCGGCTGGTTTGGTTTTTTTGAGACGGAGTCTTGCTCCGTCACCCAGGCTGGAGTGTGGTGGCGTGATCTCGGCTCACTGCAACCTCCATCTCCTGGCCTCAAGTGATTTCTCCTGCCTCAGCCTCCTGAGTAGCTGGGATTACAGGTGTCTGCTGCCACGCTTGGCTAATTTTTGTATTTTTAATAGAGATGGGGTTTTACCATGTTGTTCAGGCTGGTCTCGAACTCCTGACCTCGTGAACTGCCCACCTCAGCCTCCCAAAGTGCTGGGATTACAGGCGTGAGCCACTGTGCCCGGTCATCAAGATGGTTTTAAGGGAAGTTTCACTTCTGCCCACATTTCATTGTCCAGAACTCAGTCACAGGCTGCAACTACTGCAAAGAAGACCAGAAATGAGGGCCGGGCGTAGTGGCTCACGCCTGTAGTCCAAGCACTTTGGAGGCCAAGGCGGGCGGATCACCTGAGGTTGGGAGTTCAAGACCAGCCTGACCAACATGGTGAAACCCCGTCTATTTAAAAAAAAAAAAAAAGACCAGAAATGTTAACTGTATGCTCAAAGAGGAAAGAAACACTCCAAGTTAGCAGATCTTCTGAAAGCATTCTTACCTTACAAATTATAAGTGGTTTTATTATAGCCTGCTCTTTACACCATCCCCAAATGGCTTATTTCCTATGGCTGGTTTCCATAGCATTAGTATCTCCATTGAGTAACAGCAGAGTCCTTTTTCATGGTCCTTTGTTGTTTTCCTTCCACTGGTTCCACCTCTGATGTATGAGATTTTCCAAACCCTCTAGAACGATAGCCTAGGGCCAATTTGACTAACACTAAACAAGTATCTATAATCAAACTAAGGTATTGTTACCATAGATGTAGAAAGTACATAATTACATTATAGAGGAAAGTTGCTCTTTTCACTTCCCTGGAATTATAAACATTGTGTACAGCTGGAACCAGAAGGTGGTTGCCATAACAACCATGGGAAAGCTAAAAATAGCCCCTTTCATACTGTATTGCTTAAGGTGGAATTATGACATGTTATGGTGTTTTAGGGCAGGGAATTCTCTTTCATGTGCTAAATGTTTGCAAACTTTCTTCAACAAAGCAATGTTTGTGTAATGTAAGTATTTGGATTGCTGGTTCTAATTATACACCTGACCCCTGTGTTCCAAGGTTCTTTTTGACATAGATCTCTATTTTTATAGGCTTCTCACTCTTCTTGAGAGTCTGTTAGAGAGCTGTCTGTGCCAATTTCAGTATTATGTTTAAGCTTTAAAATATATATGTAATGCTAACCTTCCCCCTCAAGAGCATGCTTTTGTACTCCTTGATATGAAGTAGAAATGCGAAGAATTGGGATGGGATTTTTTTTGTTTTTTTTTTTTGGTGCATTATTCCTTGGCTACTGTCACATTCTGTATGCAGTCAGCAGTCCCCACTGGGATTGACTCTGCAGTTCCAGCTCCTCACAGCAGCACCTCTCTCTCCTCGCCTGCACTGTGGGACAATGATGAGGTTTCTAAGGAAGGTAGAAATCAGTGACTTACTTCAAATGAGACCTGTTACATCATCTAGGACAGTAGTGTTTTTCTGATAGAATATTAAGGCATTTATAAAATAAAGGCTTGGCAATTTTAAAAAAATCCAGGTGACAATTAAGGGAGTCTTACTGGGAATTTCACAGGTCTGAGGGAATTCCATGAGAGAGCATATCTATAGGAAGCTATAAATGCAAAGTACTGAGTTTTACAGAGTTGGACAAGTTTAATGCCTGGCTTGTGGGAGGAACTGTAATTAAAGAGAATATGTTTATATGAAAAGGTACTTTCTTGTCAGCAGTTGGTGTTTTCTGCTTTTGTTCTGTTGTTGTTTTGTTTTGGGTTTTTTTTTGGGGGGGGCAACATTTTAGTCTAGTAGATCCTTGGTAATTTGTACCACTGAGACACCATTGTGTGGCTATTAGCAAGTAAGCAGTATAATGAATTAAGAATGTTGCATCACAGAAAACATTGCATGACTCGTTTATTTGGATATTTGTCATAACAAACTAGGAAATGCACTGAGTATGAGCAACATGAGTCTTCATTATAGAACTTCAGCAGAAATTCTTAATGTACCTTCCAATCTTAGAATTGTTCCCAAGTCCCCGGAAAATGAGAGATTAACCAGGGTTTGGTTTCATGTTTGTTTCTGTGTGCAATTAAGTGCAGCCCATTTTGTCCTTCTGCTTGATATGACAGAGTTGTCATGAGTCTGGCTGTGCCATGGAAACTGGTTTGACGTCACTAATTCTGCTTAAATGGAGGATTAGAGCTAGACAATGTGGTTGATTTTAAGGGCGAGTCTTTTGTGACTTGCAGTCCCAAATGCTCAGCCCCATTTCTACATAGAGAACAGATACTATATACAGTACAAAGATTAAGGCAGGCTATACCAGTATATGATTTATGATTCAGACAACTAACTTGAATATTATTGCCCTTGGAAAGAAAGAGCAAGAGAATTTTACGCTGTTGTGTGTGTGGGTGTGGGAGGAAGGTTTTTGCTAGACAAGTATGTGAGCTTAATGGCAGGACAGAGATTTGTAGAGGGGCTATTTTCTCTACTATAACTTTGGTACAATTATAAATGGTACTCTTTTATTTATTTAGGTCGAGTGCATTTTTGCTTTATCCTTTGTTAGTCTTAGATTTGTTTTCATGTGTTTTAGTGCTCAAATACTGTATTTTGTACGAAGTACCCTAAAACTCTGACTTTTCACTAATTCAAAGTAGCTCCACCTCACAGAAGTTTTAAATAGGATTAGAATACTTGAGAAACAAAATCTTAGTTGCCTCAAGGAGCAAACAAGTAAGGGAGCATGACTGCATGAATGTGACATGAGATAATTGATCCGTGTTGTATTTTAATATGGGAAAGAAACTTTTATTATCTTTAAATGACTTTTCCTGTATTGAGATCATTGCTTTGGTGGGTGAAGTTTTAAGAGTCTGTTTTGATCAAGTCCAGATTTAATTTTTAAAATGCATTGATAACGTTAAATTTTACCTTTCACAGATTTTTAAACTGCATTTTGTTAGCGAATGAAATTTAAAATGTAAGATTTCTGTTCAAGGGCACATGTAACCACCCCAGCTGACTTAAGTATAATGGAGCATTTAATCCAGCTGGCAGGACAAGCAGTGATAGGCTGCAGCTTCAGTGGAAAGCCTCATTCTTCTGCATCTACTTCAAACTGGCTTTTTCTTCACTTTCTGTGAATGAGTTTAGACATAGCAGTTCCCACTTATATGAGAAAAGGTTAAAGTAAAACACTACTTTACCTACAAGGTACCTACAAGGATCCTTAGGATACAGGAGGGGGGTTGACTTGTCAAGATCGAGGGTTACTTCTCAGAATGCATTTGTGCTGTATACAATACAATAGCTCTTTTAGTTTTCACTTGATTGGGATCTGCTCAGAGCTTAAAGTTGATACATTCCAATATGTCATAAATATTTTTCTCTCTCTTTTTACAGATTTGTTGAGATAAATTTCACATACTGTACAGTCTACCCATTAGAGCATGCACTTTAATGGTTTTTAGGGTATTCACAGAGCTGTGCATCTATCACCACAATCTAATTTTAGAATATTATCAATACCCCCAAAAAACAAAGATATTTTAAATATTACAAATTAATACTATATTAAAAATCTCCTGTAACAAAAGTGGTTTTTATTCCATTATCATCAAAGGAATTTCTCACAAATATAGATAAAATGAAAGGACTAGATATTCATTGCTAATTTACCAGTTTTTGTGTTAGAATTGTTGGGATCTAACTCCTGATACAAACTCTTACCTTAAAATTAAAAAAGAAATGGTGGCCGGGCACAGTGGCTTATACCTGTAATCCTAGCACTTTGGGAGGCTGAGGCAGGCAGATCACCTGAGGTCAGGAGTTCGAGACCAGCCTCACCAACATGGAGAAACCCCTTCTCTACTAAAAATACAAAATTCGCCAGCGTGGTGGCGCATGCCTGTAATCCCAGCTACTCGGGAGGCTGAGGCAGGAGAATCTCTTGAACTCAAAAGGCAGAGGTTTGTAGTGAGCCAAGATTGTGCCATTGCACTCTAGCTTGGGTAAAAAGAGCTTAACTCTGTCTCAAAAAAAAAAAAAAAAGAAAAAAGAAAAAGGAAAAAAAAGGCTTTTCTGCTTCTGAAGAGGAAGACACAAACAAAAAATACCAGAATGATGTAATTTATCCGTTGACTACTTATTTCCAACTTTATTCAAAACACTGATAATATTTTTAAATTTGAAATATAATTTTTGTCATCAAAATCTTAATGGATTTCACAGCTTAGGAAGGCACGTCGTACTGATAAGGACTTCTGTTAAACAACAACAACTTCTTTCCAGTGACACACACTAAGCTGAGGACCCCCATTTCCCTTTGATGGTTGAAGTGGCATCTTGCCTAGAGGCTGGTGGATGGAACGGGTGACTTTTGGGGATTATTTCATTTCAGATTTATGTCTAAAATAATTTAGGTGCCATTTCATCACGTTTCCTTTATTTTGCACGAAGAGGATCTGTATATTTCCTTTTTCAAGCAAAAAAAAAAAATAGTTGTTGGGGAAGTAAATTCAGACAAAGAACAATGAGGAAGCGGGTTAAGGAAAGGAACCTTAGAAGGGAGACAGGAGGTACGTGGAATCAGGCTGCAGTGGCTGAAAAACGGGAACCCTCTGAGAGGAATAGATTTGAGGGGAAGAGTTGGTAGTTCTGACATTCTTAAACCGTAATTCCATACTTTACCTAACCTATACATACTTATTAACAACGGGTATCTTTATAGCATTGCTTTTCTCAAGCTAATTTTCACTTTTTGTAGAATTAGAAGTTCCTGGTAACTTTGATTTTGAACTTTCAGTAGTCTCTAAAAGTTACAGTAACCACTGAGCTTTGCCTTTTGGCAAAAGACACACTTGATAAACTAGAGAGTCACATAAGGTTAGAGTCAACTCTTTGTTGGTGCCCAAATATCTACAACTCAGGGAAAGTAGAAGGACAGGACATAGCCATCCACTCATTACCAGAAAGTTTTCTTAAGTACCTGTTTGTTATATGCTCAGTACCGTGTGGAATATTTTGAGGGAAAGTGGGCTATTATATCCAGAAGCTTATGGTTTTGTTGGAGGGAGGAAAGAATGTTTATATACATAGAATGATTAAATCCTACAGTAAAGGTAGTACATGATGATATGCTCAAATAAAGGTGCATGCAGGGAATATGAGAGTATCTGTAAGTAAAAATTCTTGGCACTGTGGCTAGAGAAGACCTCAGAGGGTAGAGGTCAACTCGAGGAGACTGGAGATCTGATCTGATCATGCCCTGGATTACTAAGACTGGGAAATGAGCTAATCGTGAAGAAGTGCTATTTTTAGTTGATTGAATTATGCCTCATTTACTGACCGAGCATATCGCATACTGATGGAAGGCAGAGAGAGATGTGTGTTAGAAAAACAGCTACATTATTCAGTTTCAAATAATTATATATCTCAATCTGTCATTCACAAACAACTGTGTATATTATTTGACTCCTTTTACATGGTACATTTTTCCTTTTTAGATCTAAAGGGGCGATTCTGAACATCTCATCTGCCAGTGGCTCACACCCCGTCCCAATGTTGACCATCTATTCTGCAACCAAGGTAAATGGTATTTTCTTAAATCATGTCAATATAGGAATAAGGAGTAATTTTTAGTCTGAAAAATTAATGTAGATTTAACTTTCCTGAAGTTCTATTCTTGGCAGTTTTCCAATAAACTGAGAAGAAAAGGAAAATACCCTACTTGAGTTTCAAGAGAACCAGAGTTAGAGACATACTATGTACTCTCAATAAACTTACTATAAACTTACAAATGGGACACCAGTATATCAGATTCACAGATGTTGTTTTTCCCCCCAGTACTTTACTGATTTTGAAAGTGATACTTATGCCTTCCATAGAGAGGTGACCTAGGCAGTTAGCTCAGTTGATTAGAACATGATGCTAATGAGTCTAAGATTAGAGATTTGTTACACGAATGAGTCCACTTCACACAGCATAGAAGAGACGCATCCAGTCAGCGTGTAAATGTACACAGTAGGCACAAGATAGCCTGGGCGAGGGTGTATTTTGACATATTGTCCAGAATTCATAGATATTCTTTGTTAATTTTTGTGGTGAGACAAGAATTTTCCAGAACTCTTTGTACAATGTCATAATTTCATACAATATCACCATTAACCTCTTCACATTACTACTAGGAAAGTAATTTAGAATGCATCTCCTACTGCCTGCAGGTCAATGGCATCATCTTCAGATACATTGTTGAGGCAACGAATACATCTCTGAAGGGAAAATGACGATTTAGATGTTGAAATTAAGCAGGCTTTTGGGGAAAACTAAAAAATATGTACAGTAAGAACTTGAAACATGGCAGGGAAGGAAAAGAGCAAAACCTCCAACTTCTTTTTCATGTGAAAAAACAGCCACTACTGTCTTTTGAAAAAGCTTGGTACCACCTCCCAACCCCTACAATCTACTTTCTGAATCTCGGAGCATACTGTAGGCAAGTTTCAAATGAATGCCATGGTTCTTGAAGGGATTCGTGAACTTCACCTTACCTGTTCTAATCCATGGATACAAAACTATTACTCATTAGGACCCTTGAAAAGTCATTATTGATTCTTTGCATTTCTAGTCTGAGGTTGAGTCCACATTTGAAAACTGGCACATTGTATTTTACAAATACATTTAAGGTTGTAGTATCAGAAGAAGATGGGCTGTCACATTCACCTCTATACTTCTTGGATCTTGTCATCCCCAGGCACCAAGAGGATGCTTGTTCTGTTCTTTTAGCAACAACACAATCCCCATAGAACAGACTTGAACAGACTTGATACTGTGTTTCTGTTTGAGTGACAAGTGGAGAGATGAAATGCATCCTTTGTTATATAAGAGAAAAATAGTTTTTCTTGGAAAGTAATTTTCTGGGGGGAGAAAAGGATAAGAAGAGCCTTTTCCAGTTAAATCAAAATTTGATCTGGATATTATATTTCGTAATATAATACTTCATTTAGTGGCAGATAAAAACAATGAGGTTTTGAGGTGTTTTTCTAAGTTGCATTTGAAATGAAAAAAATGATGAGAAATCACAGCATTAAATGGTTAGTTTAATTATGGTTAGTTTATTATTTTTGTTTCCATGGCTACAAATCAGGCAGATTGATGTAATGTGTGTGTTTTCTTCTCACTCCCACTGCCCTCCCAGGCTTTTGTAGATTTCTTCTCTCGGTGCCTCCATGAGGAGTATAGGAGCAAGGGCATCTTTGTGCAGGTGAGTGGAGTTTGTTTCACTGAAGTACCCCTGTTTTTGTGTGGTTTCCAGAGCAACTGTTGCTGTCTTGGCAACAAAAGAAAATCATATTCCTAGGTAAGTGAACGTGACGTTAGCACACCATTAAAAACATGGCTTCTTTTTCCTTAATGCACTTGTCTAGATTTTTAAAAAATTATCCCCTAGAATTTCTAAATGGGGATACCTAAAGTGGAACTAAATGTAGTATAAATAGCTGAAGCATAAGTTTTAAGTTCTTAGTGTTTTATTTTGAGAGACCAAGACTATCAGCATCTCTCTCTTTTTTAATTGTGATAAAATAAGCATAAAATGTACCTTTTGAATCATTTTTAAGTATGCGGTTCAATGGCATTAAGTACATTGACATATTCTGCAACCATTGCCGCCATCCACCTCCAGAACTTTTTCGTCTTCCAAAATGGAAACTCTGTACCCATCGAACACAAACTCCCTATTTCCCCTTCCCTCCAGCCCCTGGCAACCACTAGTTGATTTTCTATCTCTATGAATTGGACTACTCTTAGGGTACCTCATATGGGTGGAATTATACAGCATTTGATCTTTCATGACTGGATTATTTCACTTAGCATGTCTTCAGGGTTCATCCATGTTAAAGCATGTGTCAGAATTTTCTTCCTTTTTAAGGCTGAATAATATTCCATTGTAAATAGGCCACATTTTGCTTATCCATTTACATGCCAATGGACATCTGGGTTATTTATTATTTTTGTTTTCATGGCTACAAATCAGGCAGATTGATTTGTTGTTGTCACTTTACTCATCTGGGTTGTTTCCACCTGTTGGATATTGTAGATAATGCTAATATGAGCATGGGTTTACTTGGAAACTGTTTTCAAATCTTTTGTATGTGTGTACACACACACACATACACACACACACGCACACATTCCACTACTCTGTGTGTATGCGTGTGTGTGTGTGTATATATATATATATGTGTGTGTGTGTGTAGATATATATATATACACATACACACAGTATATACACACACACACACACACACATACATTTCCACTACTGTGTGTATATATATATACATTTCCACACTGTGTGTGTATATATATATACTGTGTGTGTGTATATATATATATATATATGCTACTAGATATATATATACACACACACAGTAGTGGAAATGTATATATGTGTGTGTGTGTGTATATATATGTATATGTGTGTGTGTATATAGAGACACACACACACACACACAGAGTAGTGGAAATACTGGGTCATATGGTAATTCTGTTTTAAATTTTTTGAGGAACTTTGATGCTATTTTCCATATCAGCTACACCATTTTACACTTCCACTGGCAGTGTACAGGGTTGCAGTTTCTCCACATCTTCACCAACATTTGTTACTTTCGATTTTGTTTGTTTTTTATAATAGCTGTCATGATGGGCATGAAGTGGTATCTCCTTTTGGTTTGCTTTTCTGTGATGATTAGTGATATTGAGCATTTTTTCATGAGCTTTTTTGGTCATTTGTATATCACCTCTGAAGAAATGTCTATTCTGGTCCTTTGCCTGTGTTTAATAAAATCATGTTGTTTGGTTTCTTGTCATTGGGTTGTAGGAATGATCTATATATTCTGGATGTTACCCCCTTAGTAGATACATGACTTGCAAATATTTGTCTCCCACTTCATGAGTTGTCATTTTACTCTGCCTTTTGCATAATGCCTTTTTATGCACAAAAGTTTTAAATTTTGATGTAGTCCAGTTTATCTATTTTTTTCTTTTGTTGCTGGTGCTTTTGGTGTCAGATGCAAGAAACGCTTGCCAAATCCAATGTCGTGAAGCTTTGTCCCTGTGTTCCTCTAAGAGTTTTCTAGTTGTAGTTCTTTGATCCACTTTGAGTTAACATTTATATGCCTTTGAGTTTATTATGTAGCTAGCAGATACAATGCTGTGAAAACACAAAATTTGCTTCCTGTGAAACACAAAATTTGCTTCCTGTGAAACAGAAAGCAAATGTTGGAGTTTTGAAGGGTGGCAATCTCAAATTAGCCACTCTTCAATGGAAAGAAATCATATTTCCATGCTCAGGCACTTTTTAAAAAATGTCTTGGGAGACGGTGCAATTTGTACCTCTTTCCTGCTCCTGCCCATCAGCTAATCCACCTCTACACACATCTGGTGTTCACTGTGGCTTTCATTCCTATGAGCCCAGCATTTTAGTGTTTGTATCCTGAAGCCCCAAATGATCCATCAATATAATAATAGTGAATATTTGAGTGGATACTTTTCAGGTACAGTGCTAAACACTTTTATATGTATCATTTCACCGCATCTCATAACAATCCCATAAGATAGTGTGATTATCTTTTTTTTTTTTAATTGCAGAAATTGGGGCTTAGAGAGGGTAAGCCACTTGTCCAGGTTGAGCTGGGACTCAAATCTGGGTCTGTTTGGCACTAAAGTCTTTGTTCTTAACCAGTAGGCTGTTTGCTCCAGGCCTGTAGGTCAACATTGAACCCTTATTGGATCCATTTGTGCTCAGGGAGTGATGGAACCAGAAGGTGGTTGATTAGTTCTGTTTCCTCCTTTATGCATGTAGACCATCAAGATGGGCCTAAATGTCATGACATGTAGCTTCTAAATCTTTTTATGGAGTAGATACTGGTGGGAACTAAATCATCTACTGTGAGATAGAATGGCAATGAAAGGAAGGGATGACTGTTTTCTCACCTTCCAGCTTCAAATAAGAGCCTGCTTCCTCTAAACCCCGACCCGAGTTTCATCCAAGGGAACCTTAGATGTCGTAGCCACTTGATGTTATTTCTGACTTGCAGCTTCCCATATGTATAGGTTTCATTCATGAGAACAAGTTTTCTAGAATCCTGGATTTTACACTAAATTACTGTACTCTCTTTTTCCCCTTTCCTTGACACCAGCCATTTTAATGCTAATAATCGAATCTTCAATGTAGAATATGTTGTATTTCAGTAACAAGGAAACCAGTAAAGCATTTGTGAGAAGCTACTGCATGCCATGAGAAGGTTTTCGTGGGAAGGTATCACATGCCATGCAATGGTATACCATTTTCATTCTGATGAACCTAATTGCAATCAAGCTATTAACTTGATAATTTGTAAACACCTATTGAGACTAGGCAGGAATGCTAAAAAGGTCCATTGGTGGTTGACCTATAAGCAGAATGACCAGAAACTCTAAGTGTCTTAGTGACAGAAGGTAGCATTAGGCCTTGTGAGCAGGGACAAGCAACTCACATGTTTCCCTCAGAGATCTTTTCTCCATATTTTCCACCTAGTAATCTGGTGTGACTAAAAGCTACTATAAAAACACATTAGCATTTGTCTTCTGAAATATTTTATTTCAATAACGTTTGTTTTTCCCTAATAATGAATTATAAACTGTGTCATTTCATCCGTCATTGTGTTTTGTCATATGAATTCATTCAGGGTTTAAACTTTGAATGAATTTGATGAAAAAATAAAGACTCAGATGTTTGTGAGGGAAAGTACAGTCATTCTATACGAATACATCAGAATGTTGAAGTAGAATAGAAAGAGAACCTCTTATTAATTCTGATCAAAGGGGCAAAAGAAACATAATCTGAATGAAGCTCAGAGTTAAACATGATTGGTTTTTCCTTGGTGGCGTTTTATGCCCACAAATTTTTTGGACTAGGAGTATTTATCAGCTGATTCTGCCTTGTACTCCAGCCCACACATGTTTCCTGGTAGATCTTATTAAAATACAAATCAGATAATGTTGCTTTCCTTCCTGGTCCTCTAGTGGCTGCCCATAAGGTTTAGGATTAGATTTGAACTCCACAAGACCATCTCCTTTCTTGCCACTCCATCTTCCTCCGCCACCCACGTTCAGACCAGAGTAGACATCCCGTGTCCAGTACACGCGCTGTCCTCTGAACTGCCCATGACTGGCTTCTCTGTTCGCATCCTTTCCCCAACTCCTCTCCAATTCTGCTCACCATATTTCCTTCCAGCCCCATTTGCACCTGAGCCCTACGGCCCCCGTCCCTCTCTCAAGGCCTGGGTCACAGTTCCCCTGCCCTGGAAAGCCGTCTGTCAGCTTCTTGGCACATTTTCTTGGGGCTCTCATTAGAGCTCCTTGTGTACCCCTGCCTGCTACTGTCTGGCCCTCCCCTGTCTCCCCACTTCCATGTATTCTTGAGAACAGGGCTTTTTATCTTGTGTGCCTCTGTGTTGCTGGTGGCACTTGTCATTCGTGGCAAACGGGAGACCTACCTTTTCCATGGCATCACAGAAAATTCTGGTTGTGCATGGTCAAGCTTTGCGTTACATAGGAATCTGTTTTGAAGGCTTTTTGAGCTGCTTCTGTTGCTTCCATATGCTCCTGGTCTTGAATTTTCAGCCTCTGTATCTGAATGGCTTCTAGACTAATGTTATGTGGCCAAGTTTCCATTTTTTTCTAATCCTTTCAAAGAAAGCTATTTTTTTTAGGTCTACCTCCATGTGAACGTACATCAGATTGCTCTTTTGGGGAAGGAAGGGGGTATGTTGTTCAAATTCTAGATTGTTTTATATTACTTCTTAATATTTTTCTTTTGCTTTTCTCACCCCATCTTTCCCCCAACTTCTTCTTTCCTGTAATTTTATAAGAGCATTTAAAATTGCCTTCAAGAATTCAGATTTGCCATTATATAAACATTTCCTGGAAATGCAAAATTGCAGTAACAACAACAAGTGATATAAATGCCCTGGAGGTGAATTATGGGCCTGAGAGACTATTTGATTTTGAGCAGAGGATGAGAAGCACATTCTCAAGGAAACCTTATCAAAAGTGTAGTCTGTTGATGAGGACTGTTTGTTCTCATTACCTTATAATTAAAGCCCAGTCCAAAAAAAAAAGACACTTGTATCTTTCAAAAGGCAATATTATTATGAGTAATTTGACTGGCTAGGTAGTGGGCCCTAGCCCTGGGATCCTCCTGTCTGCCCTGTACTAACTAGCAATACTGACCAAGGAGGAAGTAGCTAAGACTAAGGCTAAATCCTAAAACTACACCTCTTGAACTCTTATTCTGCAAAATTTTCATAAGCCTTCTGGTTTAAAAGAAAATTATGTGGAAATAATTTCAAGCCTACAGAAAAGTTACAAGCGTAAAAATAGTGCAAACAATACTCTGATACCCTTTGCTTAGATTTACTCACTGTTAACATTTTACCACATTTGTCTTATCATTGGAGAGTAGGTGCACACATTATGGTCCTTCAATTCTAAATTCTTGAGTGTGTACTTCTGAAAAATAAGGGTTTGTTTGTTTGTTTGTTGTTTGAAGACAGAGTCTGGCTCTGTTGCCCAGCCTGGAGTGTAGTGGAGCTATCACAGCTCACTACAGTCTTGACCGCCCAGGCTCAAGTGATCCTCCCAACTCAGCCTCCCAAGCGGTTAGGACTGCGGGCACATACCACCAAGCCTAGCAGTTTTTGTTGAGACAGGGTCTCACTTTGTCACCCAGGCTGATACAAACTCCTGTGATTCTCCCACCTTGGCTTCCCAAAGTGCTGAGATTACAGGTGTGAGCCACCATACCCAACCAGAGTAAGGATATTCTCGTATGTAACCACAATACCCATATCAACTCGGATTTAACATCGATGCAATAATTTTATCTTATGTACTATCTGTGCCCAATTTTTGACCTTATAATATTCTTTATCCTCTCCTCTTTCTCCACTAAAGAATGCAATCTAGGATCAGGTATTATATTTAGTTGTCCTCTCTGTTTAGTTTTCTTTAACCTGGGATATAGCTAAAACCTTTCTTTGTCTTTTATGACAGTGACATTTTTTAAGAGTATGGTATTTCTCCTTTTTAATTATACATTCCTCATTTGAGGTTTTGTTGACGCTTCCTAAGAGGAACCCAAAAGTGAGATTTGGGTTATATTTGGCTTTCCTTGCCAAAATACCACATATGTATGTGATGTTGTGTCATCGGGGATCATGCCGGGAGGCACACAAGATCTATCTGCTCTTCATTGGTGGCGATGTCTCTGACCCCCCCACTCAACAAGTGTTACCCAGCTTCTCTGCCATATAATTACTATTATTTCCCTTGCACTAATAAGCAATCTGTGGGGAGACCCTAAAACTGTGCAAATATATTGGTCATTATCAAAATTTCCCCCAGATTTAGCATCAGTGATGTTGCTTCACAAACCTGCCTGATAAAGAGATTTTTGATGCTAAAGAATTCCTGAAGCCCTGGCTGGATATGTAGTCATTTCAAAATGAAAAGTCACAGTTAAAGCATGGTCACGGTTTCCTCAATCCAGGCTGTGGTTTTATGTAAACTGCATTGGTCATTGGTGTGCTTAGAGGCAGTGAGGAAAGGACACGGAGCTTGGAGTCAGCAGACCAAAGTTTGAGTTCTGCCTTCAACATGGGGTGATCATCGGACCTACAGAAAGTTGCTTGATTACTTTAACCTTTAATCTCCCCTTCTGGCAAGTGGGATAAATGATGTGAGATAAAAACACTGCAAGCTGGGAAATGATATATAAAGTGTGAAGAAGAGAGGAAAGAAACTTACGTTTATTGGATATCGACAGTGTGCCCATGTTTTCACCTCTTTTGTTATCTCATTTTACATAGATATTAACCTAGTCCCATTTTACAAATAGGAAACAGGATCAAAGTCCTTTGCCCGGTGCAATGGCTCACGCCTATAATCCCAGCACTTTGGGAGGCCAAGGTGGGTGGATCACTTGAGGTCTGGAGTTCAAGACCAGTCTGGCCAACATGGTGAAACTCCGTGTCTCCTAAAAATACAAAAATAAGCCAGGCGTGGTGGTGCATGCCTATAATCCCAGCTACGCTGAGGGGCTGAGGTACGAGAATCGCTTTAACCTGGGAGACCGAGGTTGCTGTGAGCCGAGATTGCACACCCGCGCTCTAGCCTGGGCAACAGAATGAGACTTTGTCTTAAAAAATAAAAATAAAAAGAATCCTGAAACTTGCCTAAGGTCAGTTTAGTTTATCAAACAGCTTGTGCCTGCTATTTACCAGGCCCTTAGCTAAACGTCTAGGAAGCAAAGGTGAATAAGACCCAGTCCCTGTCCTGAAGGCACACACACACAGAAAAGACAGTTACTTAACACATTACAGGCTGGGCACGGTGGCTCACGCCTGAAATCTCAGCATTTTGGGAGGCTGAGGCAGGTAGATCACGAGGCCAGGAGTTCAAGACCAACCAGGCCAAGATGCCGAAACCCCATCTCTACTAAAAATACAAAAATTAGCTGGGCATGGTGGCGGGCGTCTGTAATCCCAGCTACTTGGGAGGCTGAGACAGAATTGTTTGAAGCCGGGAGGCAGAAGTTGCCGTGAGCCAAGATCGTGCCCTGCCCTCCAGCCTGGGCCACAGAGCGAAATTCCGTCTCAAATAAACAAACAAACAAACACACTACACCCACAGTAAGCCCAAAACGAGAGCTATATATCATGTTCCACATTTCTTCAGTCAAGAAATATTTAGAAAGCACCTAATGATCTGGCAAAAGACAGAGCTTCTGCTGTGGTTGAATTTACGTTTTTTGGGAGGGAGACAGAAAACAAATCCGCAAATAAAACAGTTATATACAATGATACGTGCTGAGAAGAAACTAAAGAAGGGTGATATGTTCAAGAACAAGGCAAGTGTAGAGAATGTACCAATCTTGGTGTGAATAACTCCGTCTTCAGTGACATCCTGTTTCTCAAAGAGGTGTTGCTCTGCGCCACGCAGTTTCCTTCCTTTGACCTGGGAGCCCAGGTCTCTGGAAATGATCATAACAAGGAGATCATCTGCCAAGGGATACTGTCCCCTGAAGTTTCCTTTACCAGAAGAAAGGTGAGGATGCAGGTAGAGCCATCTAAACCTAGAGAAGTTTCAGCTGCCCTCAAAATGAAGTGGACTTTTTCATTCTTAGCAGGAGATTACAAAAGAATATGCCATTTACGGCCAGGCGTGGTGGCTCAAGCCTGTAATCCCAGCACTTTGGGAGGCCGAGGCGGGCAGATCACGAGGTCAAGAGATCGAGACCATCCTGGCCAACATGGTGAAACCCCGTCTCTACTAAAAATACAAAAATTAGCTGGGCGTGGTGGTGCGCGCCTGTAGTCCCAGCTACTCAGGAGGCTGAGGCAGGAGAATTGCTTGAACTTGGGAGGCGGAGGTTGCAGTGAGCTGAGATTGAGCCACTACACTCCAGCCTGGCGCCTGATGACAGAGTGAGACTCTGTCTCAAAAAAAAAAAAAAGAATATGCCATTTATGTTTGAACTTATTATCCTGAAGAAATCCTTTCAGGGCCATGCACGCTGACTCATGCCTGTAATCCCAGCATTTGAGAGGCCAAGGCAAAGGGTTGCTTGAGCCCAGGAGTTTAAGACTAGCCTGGGCAACATAGCGAGACCCTGTCTCTACAAAAAATAGAAAAAAAATTGCTGGGCATGGTAGCACATGCCTGTGGTTCCAGCTACTCAGGAAGCTGTAGCAGGAGAATCACTTGAGCCCAGGAGGTTGAAGTTGCAGTGAGCTGTGATTGCGTCACCCCACCCCAGTCTGGGTGATGGATGGCAAAGCAAGACCCTGTCTCTCAAAAAAAAAAAAGGGAAATCCTCTGGGCTCCATCCCCTTGTTACAACCTTCCAGTGCCTTTATCTTGGTGATGAGAATTAGTGGTTTTGTTAACTCAGGCAGAAATATAGTTTTTAATCAGAATAGACTAAATTTGGGTTAATCCGTGAAATTTAGAAAACAAAAGGACAAATTGAGAGAAAACAAAATTTAAGAATTTTTTAGGGCTAGGCGCTGTAGCTCATGCCTGTAATCCCAGCACTTTGGAGGCAGAGGCGGGCAGATCACCTGAGGTCAGGAGTTCGACCAGCCTGGCCAACATGGTGAAACCCATTCTCTACTAAAAATACAAAAAATTAGCCAGGTGTGGTGGCAGGCACCTTTAATCCCAGGTACTAGGGAGGCTGAGGCAGGAGAATGGCTTACACCCGGGAGGCGGAGATTGCAGTGAGCCAAGATTGTGCCATTGTATTCCAGCCTGGGTGACGAGCAAAACTCTGTCTCAAAAAAGAAAAAAAATTCCTCTTTTATATTTTTTGTTATACTGTTTACACTATTTTATTGCTTAGAATATTCATATAGTTCTATTGGGCTTCAAAGAACTAGAAAGCTAAATATTGAGAAATAGCTACTGGGATTATAAATATAAGTCTCCATCCATTCTTCCTGTTAATTGCCAATAACTATGCAAGGAGGTAATAAAGTGTGTCTTTTGTGCATATGGAGTCTAACTAGGGAAAGTTATAAAACAATATAGCCGGGCGCGGTGGCTCACGCCTGTAATCCTAGCACTTTGGGAGGCCGAGGCGGGTGGATCACGAGGTCAAGAGATCGAGACCATCCTGGTCAACATGGTGAAACCCCGTCTCTACTAAAAATACAAAAAATTAGCTGGGCATGGTGGCGCATGCCTGTAATCCCAGCTACTCAGGAGGCTGAGGCAGGAGAATTGCCTGGACCCAGGAGGCGGAGGTTGCGGTGAGCCGAGATCGCGCCATGGCACTCCAGCCTGCGGAACAAGAGCGAAACTCTGTCTCAAAAAAAAAAAAAAAAAATATATATATATATATATATATATATAAATTCCACTGGAAATGTTCATATATGGTCAACTACACCAATTTTGAAAAATGGCTTAAGAATAGTAAAATTAGTCCTGTTGGCATTATTGGACTCAGATCCCATCCAGCCAGTGGAATCTCGATTTTGTCAGTGATAATGTCCTTTCTTCTTGGCCATTTACAACAGGGTTGTTCGATAAGACCTACAAGCTTAGGTCGGTGTGGTACAACCTAGGTCATGTGTGTCCATGAGAACTAAGATACTCAGTTGGTTACCTCAACAGTCAGATATTCCCTATGGAAAATGGCATTCTTTTACCTCTTATTCGATATAAAAAGCCAAGTTCTTCTTTCCAATTCATTCTAAAAATTCTTTCCAAATTCATCCTAAAAATATAAATATTGGAAAAATTAGAAAATAATTGCTGCTGGGTGCAATGGTTCACACCTGTAATCCCAACACTTTGGGAGGCTGGGGTGGGCGGATCACGAGGTCAGGAGTTCAAGACCAGCCTGGCCAATATGGCGAAACGCTGTCTTTACTAAAAATACAAAAATTAGCTGGGTGTGGTGGTGCATGCCTGTAATCCCAGCTACTCAGGAAGCTGTGGCAGGAGAATAGCTTGAACCCAGGGGGCGGAAATTGCAATGAGCCGAGATCGCGCCACTGCACTCTAGCCTGGCGACAGAGCGAGACTCCTTCTCAAAAAAAAAAAAAAAAGCGAAAAGAAAAGAATTGCTAATACATGCTAGAGTTCAAATCCCACCCTCTTTAACTGATAATATTTTATTTATTTCTCATGATAGTATAATATGGAAGATTCTGTAGCCTCTAATTGCAAAACTAAGGCTCAGTCATTGAGTGTTTTGCTCAAGATCACACAACTAGTAGGCAGTCAAGCTGGAATTTGAATTCAAGTTGGTCTGATTTTGACCAATGCTGATTTTTTTTTTCGTGTTACCCTACCACCTCTTTTTTTACATCCCAAACTTAATCCTTTAGGAAATCCTTGCAGCATACCCACTATTTGACCACTTCTCATGACCTCCACTGCTATCACTGTCTGAGCCACCATCTTAGCTTGTCCTGGACATTTTGCAGTATCTTTCTATCTGGCCTTCCTACACCCATCCTGGTTTAACAACCCCTACAGTCTACTCATAGCAGCCAGAGTGATCTCTTCAAAATAAAATCCAGCTGGACACAGTAGCTCACACCTGTAATCCCAACACTTTGGGAGGCTGAGGCGCATAGATTACTTGAGCTCATGAGTTCAAGACCAGCCTGGGCAATATGGTAAAACCCTGTCTCCACAAAAAATACACAAATTAGCCAGCCATGGTGGTGCCTGTTGTCCTCGATACTTGGGAGGCTGAGTGGGGGGATGGCTTGAGCCCAGGAGGTGGAGGTTGCAGTGAGCCAAGATCACACCACTGCGCTCCAGCCTAGGTGACAGAGTGAGACTATCTCAAAAAAAAAAAAAAAAAAAAAAAAAAAAATCCAGTTACTTCATTGCTATGCTAAAAGTTCTTCCACAGCTTCTCATCTCTTTCAGATTGAAGCCATGAGTTCTTATGACCCTCAATGTTCTGGTTTCAGACTTCCATGTTATCAGGTCCCCTTCCCATCTCCCTACTTCTGTGGCCTCCTTGCAATTCTGGAAACACCCTGATGACGCCTTCACCTCAGGGCCTTTGCACTTGTTATATCTTCAGTCTCAAAGGCTCTTCACCCAGATATCCTTTTGGCCAACTCTGTCTCTTCATTCAGATCTTTGCTTATAAGTCACCATATCAAAGGGGCCTTTCTTGAGAACCCAGCTGCAGGCTCAGTCTCCGTCAGCCTTTTTACCCAGGTATTTTTTTTCATCGCCTGCCAATACTGTGCACCTTTTTGTTGTTGTTGTTGTTTGTTTGTTTGTGGTCTGTATTCCCCTACTGAAATGTAAGCTCTGTAAGATTAGGGACTCTGATTCCATTCACAATGAATTTTATTCATTAAATTCCCATTGCCTAAAACATTGTTCTAGTAGGTGCTTAGGAAATAGTTTGGTGTTAAGTGAATGCTTTTTGTGAGATTACACTGTTTTTCTTTTTGTTCCTTGAATGTTAACATACAAATTCCACATCTTTGGAGGCAGGTTATTTATAAGACTATCAGTCAGCCAACATTTATCAAGGATCTTTGTATACAGCGCGATATTTTGAACTTCATTTTGGATTTAGGTGCTAAGATTGACACATATTGTTATTATGGGGCCTTTTTTCATTGCTGTATAACCAGGGATCTCTGCACCATCAGAATGATTCCTTTTTTCCTAACATTTCTAGAAAGTCTAAGGGCTTCTGCCAATTTGGTGATCAAGGGGCTTTATATGGAAAAGCTCATTTCATGGTCTGCAAGTAAAGTAATACACACTCCAAAACTAGAATATATGTGTATAATTATTTAAGTTTTTGTATACCAGATCCTGAAATAGTAGATACAGATTTCAGGAAATGGAGTTGTCTTTATATTCTTCATAGGAACCCCAGTTTCTGCCTTAAGAGTGTTTGCTGGCTACATGGTGGAATTTAATACTCCGTAAAGGCAGATGTGACAATCTCATACTGTGCAAATAGACTAGACCCTGGTGTCTTCTGGGTCTACATTTTCCCAAATCATTGTCATGTGATGTTCTGGTCATTTTTAGATTGATAGTCATGTTTACACAGATGATGACCCCTGAAAGATGCTCTACCATGTTAAGTTCCAAGGCTCAATGCTTCATTCCTGAATACCTGCTATGCAATTTCGGGCATCTTTCATTCCACTACTCCATAGCCATAAGCCTTCTTGTTCTGAATCAAGACCGCCACCCCTGAATTGTACTATGAAGTCCAGTTATCTAAGCAAGCTGCTCTAGTGGGTGGGAAAAAAGATACCAAGTTGTCTTCAGTGATTTTTTTTTTTTTAAATAGGCTGAGCAAGGAAGCACCAACAGCTTTGCTTTATGGCCTAATTAATTATTTGCCATTTGGGAATTCTAAATTTGAAGACCAGGATACTTGCCCACATCTGCAGCTCTCAAGGTCAGGTTGTTTCTGAGCTGGCAATATTTGTTAGCTTGAGCAACTGAAAAATCTGTTCTGCCCACAATTTCCTATAAAAGTATAAGTATCTTCTTGACCTGTTTCTCATAATGTTTTCCTGAATAAGCAGGAGAAATCAATTAATTATCCTTTGTTGGGATTTTATTTAACAGTTTAAGGATGTACTTAGATGGCTTTTTGATAGATCTAAGATTTTTTTTACTTTCACATAACTTGGAATATTTATTTTTAAATTACTGGCAAGTAGCTATATCTGTAAGTATGCCTGTTTAGATAGGTGGTCTTATATATGCTTCAGAATATCTAAAATTTTGACTTAAACGTTCATATTATCAACTTCTTGGTGTAATTAATTTTCTGGATCATAGCAGTGGAAAGAGACCCCAGTTCTGTTCTTCAGTGCTGTCCGTAATGAAGTATCTTTTGCCAACTCATTCAATAGATATTAACTGTGTCCCTGCTACGTACCAAGTACTGTTCTAAAGCATTAAAAATAGAGTGGTGAATATGACCAAGTCTTCATGGAGCTTGTGTTTTGGAAATGGATACCGCCCAGTGATTGGATTCAATTTTCTGTGCCATTTGCCTCCCTCCTGCCACTCTTCACACATTTCCAGCATTTGAACCATACTGAAGTATGCAGTTCTCTGAAAAACATCATGCTCTTCTGTAGTTCCTTTTCTCGATGCCTGCTGTTCCCTTGTTTGTTTACACTCAGGCAAATTCTTGCACTTCATTCAAGAGTTAGCTCAAAAGCTGTTTCATCTTCGAACTCTCCACTAGGCTATGTTAACTGCCTTGATGTTAAACCATTGTGGAAATAAATATCCTTTCCAGAAAAGAATTTACATTTCTTAGCTGGAAAAACATAACCCAACTTGGAATTCTTGAGTTGGCATCTCTTGTCCCCACCCCTTGATCTGGGGGTTCTCTAGACTAGTCTACGGTTTAGCTGCATGATGAGTTGACTTGTGGCACCATCAAGTGGTTGAGTCAGGCAGTGCAACTTAATTCTCCTACAAGATCAAAATAGTCCAATTTATGCCCTGTACATATTAAGGGAGGGAAGAAGATGGCAGGAAGGATGGAAGAAAAGAAGAAAGCATTGTAATACAATTGAGAGATATAATGATTAGACCATCTCTACCTCTAAAAGCTCAAAACCTTATAATACCTTTAGCAGGCTTGTGATCTATATTTGGAATTTTTTTTAATCTTCACTTTTTTGTGACCTTTAAACAACACATAGAGCTGAGAAATGGTTTGCTTATGTTCCTTCATTATGTGAGACCGGGGTATCTGCAGATACTCTCTTTCCTTACTACTCAGCTTTGCTCTGGGAATGACCTTTCCTTTACTGACCCATTGTCAGAGCTTCATTGAACTCTGCATTTCCTACTCAGTCTGTCTGAGATCTCACGGCAACATGTGTGCTCTCATAGACTATATCCTTGTGGCAAATGGTTCTTAAAAGATTTGACAGGCCGTGGTGGCTCACGTCTCTAATCCCAGCACTTTGGGAGGCCGAGGCAGGCAGATCACGAGGTCAGGTGTTAGAGACCAGCCTGGGCAACATGGTGAAATGCTGTCTCTACTACAGATACAAAAAATTAGCCCAGCATGGTGGCAGGCGCCTATAATCCCACCTACTTGGGAGGCTGAGGCAGGAGACTCGCTTGAACCCGGGAGGCAGAGGTTGTGATGAGCTGAGAACGCACCATTGCACTCCAGCCTGGGCAACAGGGCAAGACTCCATCCTAAAAAAAAAAAAAAAAAAAAAGAGAGAGAGAGAAAGATTTGACAAAAAAATTTTTTTTGCTAAGTGAGGGATAAATGTATACTGATAATCCCAATAAACAAATTCTCAAAAATCAAAAGTTACCTAATCAAAGTTGGCTCAAATATTGAAGTACTTCAGTGAAATTAGTTTACTTAGTATGAGTTTGTAGCTGCAGGGACAGGGAAAGAGACAGATGGAGAGTGACAGCAGTTGGGCCCTGGGGTTTTTGGTTCTAATGGGGAGGCTGAGGTTCCATCTAACCTGTAAAGGAGAGTGGGTTGCATTCCTTAACTTATACTTAGGAGTGGGAAAGATGCAAAGCACATACATACACAAAAACCCAGAGACATGGGACCACTCCTGCCAGGTCTCAGCAGGAGATCTTCCAGGTCTCTTTTCAGGAAGAAAATTCATAGAATGAAACAGATCTCAGTTGGGTTTCTACCTCTAGTATAATGAAGTTTTAAGATTTTGACCACCATGTGTTAGAACCATTCCTTTTCTGTAATAGAAGTGTCATTGGGCCAGATGTGCCAGCTCACACCTGTCACCCCAACACTTGAGGAGGCTGAGGTGGAAGGATCACATGAGCCTAGATGTTCGAGACCAGCCTGGGCAACATGGTGAAACCCTGTCTCTACAAAAAATTTAAAAATTAGCTGGGCATGGTGGTGCATGCCCGTAGTCCCAGCTACTCGGAAGGCTGAGACAGGAGGATCATTTGAACCCAAGAGGTCTAGTCTGCAGAACTATGATGATGCCACTGCACTCCAGCCTAAGTGACAGAAAAAAAACCCTGCCTCAAAAAAAAAAAAAAAAAAAGAAAGAAAAGAAGTATCATTGCAATGATACTGCATACATATGAGATAAACAATACATTCGCTCTTTGTTGAACTACCATGCCCAAGTTATTTCAAACTATAGAAGGACCTCTTGTATCATGACTCAGGACTTGTTATAATAAGGTTTCCTTATATTCTGTGTTGAATCACATCCAAAATGCAGCAAGCCTAAGCAATAAGGAACTTAACAGTATTCAAATTCCTCTAAAGGTCGTGTCCAGATCTGTCACCTCACACCCACCTAGTCAGGTGTCTTTTAGTTACCCAAATGGTTTCCATATTGTTGTACTGTGTTCCCCCTAAAAAGCAAAAAGAAAGGGAGGTGGTTCTATCTTATCAATAAAACTCTTTATAAAACTCAGAAGTAGAATGGTAAGAAACTCAGGGAGAAAAGTAGCAGCTGAGAAAATAAGATGTCTATTTTAGTAGGACCAAGCCAATAGAAAAGCTTAATTAGCCATCAATTACAGAGAAAATTGGTATTATCTCTTTAGAAGGATAAAGTATCAAAAATCTCCTACTTGGTGGTTCTGTCACAACATTCAGTTTACTAAGTGTAAAAAGTATCCTATGCTGAATCTGTGCTCTCTAGATTTCTATTTGATGCTTTCCTTTTTAAAGGTTCAAAAAGGGGCCATCCCAGCACTTTGGGAGGCTGAGGCAGGTGGATCACAAGGTCAGGAGTTCAAGACCAGCCTGACCAACATGGTGAAACCCCATCTCTACTAAAAAATACAAAAATTAGCCGGGCGCAGTAGCACACACCTGTAATCCTAGCTTACTCAGGAGGCTGAGGAAGGAGAATTGCTTGAACCTGGGAGGTGGAGGTTGCAGTGAGCTGAGATTATGCCATTGCACTCCAGCCTGGGCGACAGAGCAAGACTCTGTCTCAAAAAAATAAAAAATAATAAAGATTCAAAAAGGTAGATTTCTGCTTATTTTTAATACTTTCTCTGGTCTCAAACTCTGTTTTATTGAGAGATTGATTTGTTACAGTTTTTTTAATGCCATCATGTGCTCTATCAAGTTGGCTTTAGATAGCCACTTCTCTCTTGTTCTCTCTCTCTAAAGATACAGATGCTTCAACCACTAAGAGCAGTCAAGCACCACTGTACATCCTGTGTTTGTGGCCTTACTAATCAATGGCATGTTTTCTGGGGTGGGTGTTACCTTTCTAGAGTGTCCTGCCATACTTCGTAGCTACAAAACTGGCTAAGATCCGAAAGCCAACTTTGAATACGCCCTCTTCGGAGACGTTTGTGAAGTCTGCAATTAAAACAGTAGGCCTGCAATCCCGAACCAATGGATACCTGATCCATGCTGTTATGGTACGTAGATTTTTTGAGTCGCAAATCAGTACTTTCTGGCTTGGGGTTTCTTTCCCATTGAGTTACAGGATAGTATGTAATAGCCTAGCATATATACATTGTCTAAACATACTAACAAGACATATATGTCTTGTTATAATGGCTGTATACCCAAGAATTTAAAAATCTACCTATAAATAAAAACAACACTATAATAAAACATTAAATCATATGCTTCAGTTTAGCCCAAATGATAGGCTGTAATTACATATCTCTCGCATTCTGTTTCCCTAGGGCTTGATCATCTCAGTCCTGCCCTCTTGGTTGTATTTTAAATTTATCATAGATATGAACAAGTCTACAAGGGCTCGCTATCTGAAGAAAATCAAGAAGAACTAAGCATTGATAACTCCGCTATGACTTGGCCACATGCTCTAGCATATGCATCTTCACTGCAAGGCACCCTACTGGTCTTGAAAATCTAAAGTTGTTGTTTCAATAGTTATTAAAATGACTAAATGTTATCTTAAGAAGAAAACAGAAGTTACTTTTAGGGGTTATGACATATATTCTGGATACTACCCGAAGTAATTTTGAAGTTTAATGTAAATGCTCATATCAAATGAATGTAGAACGAATATTGTCAAGAACAGCTAATCGGAAGGAATACTATCATAGCAAATCACAGAATGGTAGACTCAAACACAAAACTCAGCAGTTTTATCTGCTCCAGAATGCCATTGATCATTATTTCTTTATTTTCTCTGAAGCTGATTATAAAAAGTAATGCCTAGCTACTCTTTTGTTTTTGACACTTTGAAGAAATGGAGATTAATTGATTTGATTTGTTTATAAGCAGACATACTGCAATTTACAAAGATCTCTTTAAGATTTTATAAAATTATGTTCCAGTTTGTACATTTATATGGAATTGTTTGTTATCAAGGGTAACTAATGACATAAAAATAATTGTGAAATATGGAGTTATTTCTGACACATGAAACCCACTAAACTATGCTTTCTTGTAATGAATATTTCTTCTCAGTTTAAATGTATGTAAATATCGAAGCTATATGGTATGATTTATAAAGATAAATGGGCCAAAGTGTACACTAGACTGGTACCATCTATGGTACCACTGAAACCCTGACCCAGAAAAGTGGTCTGCTTGGACACCCAGCCTTTTTTGTTTCTGTATTGAATCAATATTGCTCACACATGTGACACAGGCTAGTCCTATAAAAGCAATGACATCATAGAAATGGCATTATACTTTTTAAATTGATACTCTATAAGTAGGTACTGATATAATTAGTTTTAATAAAACATGCTGTAACCATGGTGTACAGCAAAAATACATTTCTTGAAATTAAGGTCATATTTACACTGACTTAATATAAGACTGACTTATATCCTGCTTCATAACTTATATGGAGAACTCACCAAGACAGAATTCAATACTGTGAAATATACAACAAGAAGACTGGCCTTTACCTACCTAGGCTGTGGTTCCTAAGCTCTGAGTTTTAAGCATCAGTAGATTTGTATTAAAAAAAAAAAAAAAAATTGGGGCCTTAGTTTCTGGCTTTTAATTTTGCCGGCTAAGGACATAAAACAAAAACAAACAAAAAACCAAATAACCATCTGTTATCAGCATATGTAAAAGAAATATATTTTAGGCCGGGCGCGGCGGCTCACGCCTGTAATCCCAGCACTTTGGGAGGCCAAGGTGGGTGGATCACAAGGTCAAGAGATCGAGACCATCCTGGTCAAAGTGGTGAAACCCCGTCTCTACTAAAAATACAAAAAATTAGCTGGGCATGGTGGCGCGTGCCTGTAATCCCAGCTACTCAGGAGGCTGAGGCAGGAGAATTGCCTGAACCCAGGAGGCGGAGGTTGCGGTGAGCCAAGATTGCGCCATTGCACTCCAGCCTGGGAAAAAAAAGAAAAACCCCAAATCCTAATTTTAAAAAAAAAAAAAAAGGAAATATATTTATATATTTTAGCCCCTAAAATTAGGAAGAATATAATTTCAGAATAAAGGTTGTCATTTAAATGGAATAAATATAGCTTTATGAAAAACACAGTTGTTTGCCTTTTTTTCCTCTCATTTTATTGTAGAAATGGTGACGCCACAATGACTGGGACAGTATTTTATCTACTTTCACACATTGGGTGGTTGGTTGGCTAGTTTTGGTGTAGTGGTGGTAGATAGAGGAGAGATTTGTTTACAAGTATACAAAATACTTTTTCTTTTATCCCAGTTAGGAAATAGTTGTAGGGTAAGCACAGTGGCTTACACCTATAATCCCAATGTTTTGGGAGGCCAAGGCAGGAGGATTGCTTAAGTCAGGATTTCAAGCCCAGCCTGGGCAACATAGCAAGCTCTTATCTCTACAAAATTTTAAAAAATTTAAAATTAGCCAGATATGGCATTAACACACCTGTAGTCCCAGCTACTTGGAAGGCTGAGGCAGGAGGATTGCCTGAGCCCAGGAATTAGAAGCTACAGTGAACTGTGGACTACCACATGCACTCCAGTCTGCGTGACACAGTGAGACCCAGTCTCAAAAAAAGAAAACAGTTGTAATTCTGGCTAGAAAATCCCTTAGCGGTTTCAAAATTTCTGAGCGGTGGCTTGGCAAGCATCCTCTTGTATCTGACACTCAAGGGTGAACATGATGACATGAAAATGTATTTTTCTGGCTGGGCACATCAAAAGAAAAATATATGTTAAAAGAAAACAGTATACTCCAAACCTTCAAAATAGTGCAGTAAAAGTTTCAGACTTAACTTTGTTGACTTGATTTTATGTTCTAATGCATACCAGATAAGATTTGAATACAGGTGGGCCAGGCGCGGTGGCTCACGCCTATAATCCCAGCACTTTGGGAGGCTGAGGTGGGCAGATCATGACGTGAGGAATTCGAGACCAGCCTGGCCAACATGGTGAAACCCCATCTCTAAAAAGAATACAAAAATTAGCTGGGCACAGTGGTGTGTGTCTGTAGTCCCAGCTACTTGGGAGGCTGAGGCAGGGGAATCACTTGAACCCAGGAAGTGGAGGTTGCAGTGAGCCGAGATTGCACCACTGTACTCCAGCCTGAGCGACATGAGTGAGACTCCATCTCAAAAAAAAAAAAAAAGATTTGAACACAGAAAGACTAGACAAGAAAATCACTTCTCCATTCTTGGTTATATTTCATTATCCATACATTACTAAAATCAGTTTGTTACAAGTATTTTACCTGGGATTCTTGCATGTGTCTGAAATTGGCCTGCAGTCTGCCTTTCTTACACTCTTTTGGTCAGGTTATGGTGTCAAGATTATAAATCCATTAAATGAATTGAAAAGAGTTGCCTATTTTCCTGTTCTCCGTAAGGATTTGTAAAAGATTGGAGTGATCTGTTTGTTAAAAGTTTATAAAGCTGTCTGGCCTTAGTATTTGTTGGTGGGAAGACTTTTAACCACTGATTATATTTCTTTCAGTGTAATTAAACTATTCAGGAATTCTATTGTTTTCTTGTCAATTTTGACAAAAGAAATCCAAGCATTTGCCCATTTTACGGTATATTAGCATAAAGTAGCTCAAGGAATTTTCTTATTTCTAAACCTCTTCTGGATACATATACTTCCTTTTCTGATATTTGTATCTTCTCACTTTCTTTTCCTTGGCCATTTTACCAGAAGTTTGTCTATTTTCTTAATTTTTTTAAAGAAACAACCTTAGCTTTATTCATTTCTCTGCCCTTCTTGTTTATGTTCTGCTTTCTGATGGTTTGTTCTGTTGTTTTTCTCATTTCATAAATTGGACATTTAACTCACTCATGTTCAAGGTTTTTCCCATTTTCAGTATCTGAGTTTATTTGAATTACCTCCTTTGCTTCACCCCATGAATGAGTACATGCATGTATACAAATATGTATAGGTACACATTTTTATTGCTTTTCCATGTGTATCTTTACATTATGATGTATTTGACCTGTTAATTATTTTAAAGTGTTTTTAAATGCACAGACTTAAGAATTTTATAAATGTATTTCTTTTTCAAAAAAATTGTATTAATATCACTGTTAATAAGACAATTTTATATTTTGTGAATCCTGATAAAATGTGCTGAAGATACATTAATTATGTGATATTCCTGCCAAAAATGTGTAACATGAACATATTGGAGAGAAATATCAGAAAAAGCTAACCTGAGGAATATCCTACAAAATTACCAGCCTGTACTTGTCAAAAATTTCAGGTTAAAGGAGAGTAAAGGGTTGTGGGAACTACATGCAGCTCATGTTTCTAGATTGGATCCTGATCAGGAAAGCATTTTTTAAACTTTTGCTCTGTCAGACATTTTTGAGACAATTGGTAAAATTTGAGTAAGGTCTGTAAATTATGAATAGCATTATATCAGTGTGACTTCCTGATTTTGATAATAACGTCATGGTTACTTGAGGAAAAAGTCCTTGCTTTTTAGGAACTACACACTGGAGCATTTAGGGTTAATGGAATATTGTATATACAACTGAATCTCAAAAGGTTCTGGAAAAATGATATATATATATAAAGAAAATGGTAGAGTAAATGTGGTAAGATGTTAACCTTTGGAATTTAAGTGATAAGGATACTTTGTACTGTTTCACAGATTTACTGTAAATCTGGAATTATTTCAGAATAGAAAGTTTAAACATAGCTTTTGTTGTTGGTTCTAACTAATTGCATGTGGTCAAAGAACATGTGAGTATGATAAAGCTTGGGCAAATTATAACCTTTCTCTGCCTCAGCTTTGCCATCTGAAAAATGGAAATAATAGCACCTAGGTCAGATTGTTTGAGAGTAAGTTAAGACATTTAAAGAAATGAGAATTCATCCAGGCACAAAGTATCTAGATATATGTTGTATTTAGGCTGAATAATGGCCCCCAAGACATCAGGTTTTAATCCAGTGAACCCCATATTACCTTACATGGAAATGAGGTCTTTGCAGATGTGATTAAATTGGGGATCTTGGCTGGGCGTGGTGGCTCACGCCTGTAATCCCAGCACTTTGAGAGGCCAAGGTGGGTGGATCACAAGGTCAGGAGTGGTCCGCTTGACCTATATGGAAAAACCCCATCTCTAAAAAAAATAGGAAAATTAGCCCAGCATGGTAGTGGGCACCTGCAGTCCCAGCTACTCAGGAGGCTGAGGCAGGAGAATCACTTGTACCCGGGAGGCGGAGGTTGCAGTGAGCTGAGATCGCACCACTGCACTCCAGCCTGGGCGACAGAGCAACACTCCATCTCAAAAATAAATAAATAAATAAAAATAAAAACAAATTGGGAGTCCTGAGATGGGGAGATTTTCTTGGATTATCTAGATTGGTCCTAAATGCAGTCACACATGTCTTTAATCAGGCAGAGAGATTGCAGACAGAAGAGGAGAAGGCAATGTGAGCATGAAGGCAGAGACTGGAGTGAGGCAGCCACAAAAAACGGCAGGCATCAAGGAACAGATTCTCTCCTAGAAATTCTGGAGTATGAAGCATCCCATCAACAATTTGATTTTGGTGTCGTGATACTTATATTGCACTTCTGGCCTCCAGGAAACTGTGAGAATAAATTTCTGTTATCTTAAACCACTGAGTTTGTGATAATTTGTTCCAGCCGCCCTAGGAAACACAAATGTATATTGCATTACCTATTAGAGGTTTTGTTTGTTTGTTTAGCATCAGGGTCTCCCTCTGTTGCCTAGACTGGAGTCCAGTGGCGTGACCATGGCTCATTGTAGCCTCGAACTCCTGGGCTTTTGCAAGTGATCCTCCCTCTTCAGCCTCCTGAGTAGCTGGGACTACAGGCACTGGCTTTTTAATTTTTATTTTTAAAGATGAGGGTCTCAGTATGTTGTCCAAGCTGGTCTCCAACACCTGGCCTCTTTCAGTCATCCTGCCTCAGCCTCCCAGCTAGCTAGGATTCCAGGGATGAGTCACTAGGCCTAGCTAGAAATTTTTTGAGACTTGTATGTCCAGGTATGGCGAGTTTTTAAAGTGTTTCACATTTGCTTCCTAATTGTTCTTCTTCTTCTTCTTCGTCTTTTCTTCTTTTTTTTTTTTTTTTTTTTTTTGAGACTGGTCTTATTCTGTCCCCCAAACTGGAGTACAATGGCATGATCTTGGCTCACTGCAGCCTCAACCTCCTGGGCTCAAGCAATCCTCCCACCTCAGCCTCCTGAGTACCTGGGTATGTTGCCCAAGCTGGTCTGGAACTCTTGGGCTTAAATGATCCTCCAGTCTTGGCCCCTCAAAGTGTTGGGATTACAGTTGTAAGCCAAGGCACCTAGCCTCTAATTGTTGTTTTCTACATACGTGGCAATGCTCGTTAATTGGGTCGTTCAAATCTTTCATATCTTTACTAACTCTTGTCTGACCTATTAATAATTGATAAAGGTATTTTGAATTCTCTCACTGTAATAGATTTGCCAGTTTCTCCTGTTTTGTCAGTTTTAACTTTATACATTCTATTGAGTAAATAAAGTTTAGAATGCATGTGTTGTCCTGGTGAGTTGAACTCTTCTTGTTATGTAGTGATTTC